TTGTGTTTCCAGGCATAGCAAATGGGAAAATGGTCTCAGGATAAGTACGGGTGAATGTAGGGTCCTTGCTAGCTTCTCTTGCCAAGACAACTGCCCTTTGGTTTCTGTCCATGTTAACAGGGAGCTGGCATGTAGCCTTATGTTTTCCTCAGCTGTTACGGTCACTGTCAGTGGGAGAATGGGTCCACCTAAGTTGTTCCCTCATAGGCTACAGCAGTGCTGGGACTTTTTTTTTCTGTATTTTAGGGAAGGGTCTACAGGATGTTCAGGGTCTCACTGCTAGATCGGGTTTGTAGTGATTCTCTTGTTTACAGCCTCCCAAGTGCTGGGATTACAGGCGTGTGCCACCATGCCCAGTCCCATTCACTGTCTCAGCACACCCTGAGGACTGGGCCAGCACAGCAGACCCAGGGATTGAACCCCCAGCCCCTGCACCTGCTTGCAGGTGCTGTAGTCTGCTGAGCTATTTGGCTAGCCCTGTTGCTGGGACTTCTGTTGTCATTCATTTTTAAAGATTAATTTTAAAATTTCTTATACAGTTCACATTTCTCATCTAAAGATTTCTATAGCTGAAGTCACTGGGAGGTATAAATTGATCCTTGTTTCTGCTGTATTTCAATCTGGTTACATTGCTCCCTTGTGTTCCTGGCTGTATTTTTCACTTGGACTTCACATGTGACTACTCCATATTGCCCCTTGCTCAGCCAGGGGTTTATGAGGTAAGCGAACCTTACAGAACATGAACTGGTTGACTACTTTTCAGTGCTCTGAGGGTGGTATACACCTACTGCCATTCCAGATAAGGGAGACATTCTTTCTGTCATGGAGAGTTTGGGAAAGCCAGTCTTAGCTTTGCTCCAGTTCTTCTGGAATCTGTGGGGATTCTGTGGGCTAGGTACGAGACATTTTGGTCCAGAGGATTCACATGTGCGTTTTCCAGATGCCGTGGAGCACAGGCTAAGCCGTGTTAGCCCCTTCCTGGCAGGCTCAAGGCTCCCGTCCCAGTGTGTGTGCCTGTTCTCCCCAAGGCCATCCCTCAGGCCAGCCTTATTGTCTCCACCTGACAGTGGGCAAGGACCTGTCAGCGTGCTGTCCACAGAATGGAGCCCCTGGACCATGGCTGCAGGACCATCTGTCGTCAGGTCCCTTGCTTTCCCCTGCAGTGAGCCATCTTGCTTGCCTCCTACATTGGTGATTTGATTTTTGTTATCAAATCTTTTTTCTTTTTTTATTATTTTTATGAGCAGAATATATTTATTGAGAAAAAGAGGTCTTTTTTCTTTTAAATAGACTGCTTCAAGACACTGAAATCATTTAGTCTGTGGCATTTCTCATATTGAGCTGTCCTCTTTTTTCTTGTTATGCTTTGACTTCATAGTTTTTATAGGGTTTCTTTATAGTGAGTCTGCTTAAGAGGGTGTGGTCCCATCCGTCCGCTGGCCTCTTTGTTCATTTCTTCTGAGCAGCAGAATTCTTCACTGAGTGTGGGTTGGTTCTTCCAGGTTTATGTACTCTTGGGGTTGGTTTTTGTTATCGGAGAGGAGTCTAAGAAGGTGCAGTTTTAAAATAGTAAATATTTCTTTTTTTTTTTAATTTTATTTATTTATTTATTTATTTGTGTGTGTGTGAGTGTGTGTGTGGCCAGCTCAGCCCACCAGG